ACTTATCATATGTGGAATAGTCTGAAAAGAGTGCGAGAAGTAACTAGAATAAAGAAAAATGAATATTACCTAGATCATCAACCATCAAAATGACGATATTTGGTCGTTGAGGTGTTGCCGGTTGATTTTCACACAATTCATCGCCACATTCAAATATTCTCAAGTTGTTGACGAAAGGAATTAGTGAAGAAATAGTGAAGTAAATAAATGGCACTTTTCTCAAATGCATTGTGCTTCTGACTGTTGTTGTTCACTGAATATTTATTCGTCGAACTTCAGGTTTTAACCTGAAATTGATAAGTATTGTTCATCGTGAACACGTAAACGCATAGCGAGTAACATCGTTCGCCTCGTCTTATTTCATCATCAAATGAAGAAGACAACAATGTTTTCAATGGAACAATTCATCATCATTGGGGTTCAGTGATTATGAGCACTTATATTCATAGGTATAGACTTTTGCTTCAACTTGGATTCAATCATTCGAACGCACTCAACTAAATAACTACCATCTCATTGTAATATATCGCACCACAGATCGAATGCAGTCTTAATAAAGATTGCGTGCTCAGCGATCAAATTGCTAGTATCATTTAAAGCACTCTGTGCATCATTGAATCGTTTGATATCGGATGTTCTACGAGGACATTTCAAAATTCAGGAAAAAAGCATCACATCAAACAAAACTGATAGTTGGAACATCAGACGTTGTTTACAGGAAACGCGAGAAGTAAAACGCATTCCGTTACCACTAAGAACAAAATTTCTCCGAAATTTTCCTTTTTTTTCTGCAATGAAATCGAATAGAGTAAGCTTTTGTTTCTCAAAAACAGCCTTATCTTGAATCTCAGAGACTCCATCAATGACATGAAATCAACAATTCACATGCAGAGCTTCAATGTTATTTTAAAAGGATATATGTAATCATTTATACACAGCAGTGACATGAGTTTTTGCATGTTTACTCTTCTAAATTCCTAAACTCCATTGCGACGCTATCAGATCAGGAATGAGACTTATCGTTAGATTTTATCCAAACCACAAATTTGAATGAGACCTTTAAATGCCGAATGAGAATTTCGTTAACGAACGAAGTGAATGGAACAAGTAATTGGAATTCGATGAGTTTACGACAAGTAAATGTCTCCATTTACTCTGAGCAACATGCTTAGAATTTCACAGCATCGTTTTCAGATAATAAAGACTGGGAAGGTGAATGAAATAACGATAAGATGAAAATACTTCGAGCAGCCTTACAATGAGTTGTTTACTTGAATATCGCCTCACTATCAGTAATATGACTGCATGTTTAGATCTTCGTTGTAATCAGCATTCTCCGCATTTTGTCGACGAAATTCGATTGCGGTATATCGTCGATAGGGGAAGGGGTTAGGGGAGGGGTTACAAGGGAGTCTAGATGAATGAGTGTGAAGACAACAATCTTTGAATATCAGATAGGTTGTAAATCATAGAGTATTTAAGTGGTCTATTGAAGACGACTTGATTTGTTTGAATGATTTTTGATCATTTCCTACGACAAGGAACTGAATAACATATGAGGAAATACGTGTTTATCACATGTTTATCACACACTCATCTATTATCAATCTCTTTCATTTTGTCCTTATCAATTGCATTCATCACAAGTAAACAAGAAAAAAACATGTGAAGATCAATAAAAAATGAATGGGAAGTGAGGAATGCTGAGATGATCTCAAGAGAAGACATCCGAAGAAAACATTAATTCTTGAATGAGAAACAAATGAATAAATTGCTAATTTTTTAAAATTGACTTATTAATTGTAAATTATGTGACGATTCACCGTCACATAAATACACACAATTTGCAAGATATCTTTTCGTTTGCAATGATATTTGATATGCGTTCCTTCGTTCACTTACAAAAAAAAATCGATCAACGATAATTTATTAATCAGATAAGTCGACGATCACTGCTCAAGCAGCACAACTTCATTTCTTATCTCTTATTTCATTCAACACCAAACATCAATCTCATTCCACGTAATCATTCAAAGACCACACTGATATGATAATGTTCTGCTCAAACCGCTCACAACTACATTTAACTGCTGCTGGGGATCGCAACAAAATTCGTTTTATCAACAATGAACGGTATCCATTTCAGTGCTTCCAATTTTCGGTGACCAACAAGTGAGAAATCCTCAAAACATCCGAAATTCGCTCAGTTATCATGGCTAGAACATAAAATGTAAGAATATGATTTTGCGATCGGCACTCTTGGTTCTATCAGTTTTTGAATTCTGGATTATTTGAATTTTGTTTGAATTTTGGATTATTTGAATTTTGAAATTCATCCGATACATTCAGCAGATTAATCTCAATTATTTGAGGGAACCTGAGGATATTTCACTGAATACGCCAAATGTTCAATACGTTAAATTGGAAGGGGGGGGGAGGCAAAATTAATCATCAGACACTGCTCCATTGCACGATCTACAAAAGATCACATAGATTGGTTTTTTATTTGTTTCATTGTTTTTAGCAAGTGAACTGTACTTGACAGTTGAAATTAGAGCAAAATATTTTTTGTACTTCTCTGAAAGACAAAACATCTAAGGAAAACAATTCTGCTGCACTCGTTCATTCACACCGAAATTCGTCCCATTAATCGATGCAATATCCGATTCAGGAAAAGGAAACACCGGAACAGATTAATTGATCATCGATTCTTGACGGACACTGCAAGAAAACGCGAATGTGAATCGTAGTATTTCACAAGAGAGCGTTCTCGCAAAGATTCACTAATGAAAAGGCTGAAATTTCTCGAGTCAATCGCATCCAACTGGATTGTTCTATGAAACTCGATAAAACTTATTGTGTTCACCTCAACTATTCTTACACAAACTTATCTAACGGCAACATTCATTTACTCATGTTCACTAACACTGCATCACTCATTCATCCAATCAAAATAAAAACAAATCAGTGTTTATAAAATATCGCATGATCACTTTC